TCTTGCATTAATATTTTAATTCAAAATTGCCAAAATTATAAATTTCCTAATTTATCTATTGATTTGTGGTTAATATTGGTTCTCACAGTTACCACAAACTAATTAGTTCTCATTTCATTAGGCCCCTATATATATATATATATGGGGGTTCAAATGAGAAGTCGGTTAACTTAAGAGTAATGTGAGAATGGGCAAATCACATATGTATAAGACGTATACAAAGGTTATGTAGAGCAGCCATTGCACAGACAAGTTTTCTGTAGCCTTGGTTGTGTTGACCTGCATCTTTTTATACGTTTTGTAAATCATATGTGATTTGGTCGTTCTCGTATTCTTATAAGTTGATCGACTTTCCATTTGATCATATATATATGCACACACACAATATAATCATGTACAAAACCTATAAATTGTACAAACTTAAAAACTATTTTTCTTGTGTTGTTCCACATATGAAACAACACATGTAAAATATAATGTTTATATAATGTTGTTTCATACATATGAAAATTAGTTTGTAAGTTTTTACGAATTATTGAGTTTGTAAAAACAGAGGATTCTACATATATGTATACATATACGTATAATGAACCCATCTTTGGTTTATCACGCCTCCCTCAAGACTGATCACCGTCTCAAACCACCACCTACTAATCACACACATACACAAGCTTCATATACATATACATATACACTAACTTTGTATTATAAAATAATAAAATGATAAAAATATCCTCAGGCTCGTTTCTGACATTTTTTAGGCCCTGAACGAACATAAAAACAAGGGTCGCACTGCAAGAAACAAGGCTTTTAACGACTTTTGTTGTCGCTAAAAGTCCGTTTATCGTTAGAAAGAGTATATAACAACAATATGTCGTCGCTATAACTTGTGACACATGTCATCGCTAAAAAGACACATCGTCAAAGCTCACTTTTTCTTATAGTGACCTTCGTTAAGTACGGAAAAAAAATCAAAAAATGTTTTTCATTAATATAAAATTGAGTACAAGAAATGCTAATAATTTACTGAGTAAAAAAATCTTATTTATTTTTATTATAGATATATAAGAAAATACTTAAATTTATGTACTTCTTATTAGGTAATTTTAAACCAAGAGTATAGAAACTATGATTGATAATTTTTTATAAAAAATAAGAATTTTTTACTTTATAACAAGAAATATGTGTTATTTTGATACAAAAAGAGATTTCGTGTTAATGAAATAATCGTGAGGTCAATGAGAGATCAATAATAAAGAAGATTATCAAGATTTTCTAAACAAATAGACATATTAAGATCAATAAGAATATAAAACAAAAAATAATCCATTGAGATCTAGTAAAAATAAATAATGAATTAAACATATAATATGCAAGCTCAACAAATGATTGTTTGAACACTTAAATAGAATCTTGTGGTATGGTGGAATCTCAATAAAAGATACATAAGTCAAACAATTGATGAAAATATTTAAATTCTATTTTCCTTCTTTTTTTGCTCAACTAAAATAAAATGTTAATATTAAAAGTTTATGGAACATGATATATATAAGAGACATTACTAAATACATTTAGTATAAAAAATTTATTGATTAATCACAAAACCATGAAACACATCATAAATCATAAGAACAATAGATTAATTGTAAGACAAAAGTAAAATATTTTATGTAGAAGCAAAAATAGATAACAATAGTCGATAAAAAACAATTATAACAACATAACCAAATAGCAATAATCAATAAAAATAAAAATTGATAAAAATATCTAACAAAAATATATAGCAATAGCAAGCACATGACCTTAACGTTGAATTGTTGAAGCACAAAAATAATCAAGCATATAGAGATAGCAATAGCCAATATCATTGGACCTTGTTGAAGATAAAAAAAATTAGATGAACAATAAACAATAGCATATAATGAATGAATAATTATTATTTTTTATTTTCTTCTCCAATATAATTAATTGATATATTTTTGGGCTATTATTATTTACTAAATTATTTTTGTCTCTTATTATATGCTATAATTTTTTGGTTTTTTTAATTTATTAAATTATTTTAGACTACTATATATTTTAAAATGAAAATTTGGGTCCCTAATATTTTTGGACCCTGAACGTATGCCCGTGCCGCCCTCCCCGGGACGGCCCTGAATATCCCCAACGACAATCCAACAAAGGGAGCTGCGGTCGAGAAATGCAAATCAAGAAAATGGTTTTTAAATTTATTAAATGTTAAATACTTTATTTAAAAACTCAAGGACCAAAATGATAGTTTACTCAAAATTAGAAATAAAATAATAATAAAATATTCCAAGATGGTGATACTTTCATTAACATTTTAATGAAAAATAATAATTTATAAAATGTGTTTGCATTTTCCTTGGTTGAAATGCAATCTAATCAATATATTCCACAATCATCAAAATTAATTTAATAAATTGCATTTATTGACATTTGACTAAACTTCCTTCAACAAGTACGTTAAGCAACCTCCTCATCAAATCATCTTCATGATGAATATTACTTGTTACAGATTTTCTTTAATTAATATATTGAGAATGAAATTAATTGATTATATTAAATTATTTCTACCATCTTTTTTTATTTATATAAATTTTCATTTACCGTATTATTATATATTGCATATCGATGTATTTTGTACATTACAACATATAATCTCATAATGCCCCATGGCTTATTAAATATATGTTTATATCTCATATTAAATAACATGGATCATGTGTGTGTATGTATGTATGTATTTGTATGTATTTGTTTTAAAATTTATAAAACAAAGACGTTGAGGGTGCACCACAAAAAATAGACGATTAATTTTCAAGATCTCTACAACCTATAAAAAATAGTTATGTCATCCATGGGTGGGACCCAATTGCCAGGTGTCATTTGCATATCCTCATGATTATACAAGTGATGCCATTTTATACTCCAATCACTGTCATCCACATCACAACAGCTGTCAACTGTCCCACCTTCCACCTCATCACTTCCCATTTTTACACTTCACTCCCTTGAGGTATTTGTGCTCTTCCATTTACCTCCCAAATATCTTAATACGTGTTTCTCCACTTTAATCAATACTTAATTAAACACAATTTTATTAACAACCTATAAATATATAACAAACAGAGTAAAAAAAACCGTTGTATCCTATTAAAAGCTACTATACGTTAGCTTATCAGTTATATTTTGTCCATATAAATGGGGCTTTTACAATAAGTACAAAAATAAACTAGTTCATATTGTTAACCATGGCCTGAAGTTTAATATATTAAAACCAACTAAGAACAAACACGTCCTACGTTACAAACCCAACCAACAAAAACTGAACCACCATCTACAAGACATAGAAAGGAGGGAGGCTGCAACTGGTACCTAGCAAAAACCTACACGGAAAACCCAACTAGAAGAAAGCAATAAACAATCGATCATTAGTCGTTTACGAAAACATGTGGTCAAAGTACAACGTCACAACCTACAAGATACAAAGAAAATATATAAACGATATTGAGTACTTGTGTATGAAAAATATATCCTTGTAAACGTTATCTATTAAGGTTATAATAAATATTAAGATTATCTCGTAAACCTTATGTGAGAAATATTCAGATAATAATTAAGAATACACATTTTAATAGTGTCTATAAATATGCTTTCAAAGTCTGATTTAAAGTGATTCTGTGACATTATTAATAATTAACGAATTTTAAGATGCTCTTAAAAGTATTATCTTTCATTAAATATCAACTATTTAAACATATAATCGTTAAAAAAAATGTAAAAGCAAAAATAAGAATAAATTAGTATTTTTTTTAAAAAGCATTTTACTTTATTTAATAAAACAATTTCTTATATGTTTAATATTCAAATGTGTACGATAACAATTTACAAATTATAATAATCTTTTATGTAAAACAAATCAACCATTAAAGAGCATTTTAGTACAATTTTTGTAGCCATATTCAAATAATTCTTTAACGAGACTTATTTAATCAATGTATTTTCATAAATTTTGATATAGAGAATATGATTAGAAATGCTCTAATTATTTTGTAAGGTTAAATATATAAAAAAATGTCACATTAATAGAATTTTACATGTAGAGAATAATATGACATGAAAACCTCATAACTCATATCAGATCATCATAATTTAATTCAAAAGTTACTATAATAAATAAAATTTCAAAGTATAATATACTAATAAGAAAATAATTTAAAAATAAGAAAAAATACAATTAGTAGAATAAAAAATTTATAAATAGATATATAGATTTTAACACATGTTGTAGATAAGTATAATTTTTTTTTTTTTTTTGTCATTTTGTGTTGTTTTATTGGTATTCATTCATTTGTAATGACGATTAAATATGAGGGGTGGATAATGTAATTTTTGTTGTCTATAAAATCCCTCCCCTTTCCTTGACATTAAGCAACAGATTGAAAGAAAGGCATGGGGAGCTATCCATACGAACCAACCTCTACCTTTTCTCAAGAAGATCAATATCAAGACCTCGATTTTTCAGATCAAACAACCTTTGATCACCAAAACTCATCTGGGTTCTTCAAGAAACAAGATTCATGGCCCAAAAACAGCATCCACAGAAGAAAAAACCAGGTGTTTCTTCAAGGGTATGTGGAGACACCTGATGAAGATGAACTTGTTAGGTCTAAGAGCTTAACCGATGAAGATCTTGATGAACTCAAAGGATGTTTGGATTTGGGTTTTGGTTTCAGTTACGATGAAATCCCAGAACTCTGCAACACCTTGCCGGCGTTGGAATTGTGTTATTCGATGAGTCAAAAGTTTCTTGATGAACATCAGAAGTCGCCGGAATCACCATCGTCGGCGGTGGTCGATGAAACTGCCTCCCCACCTCCGATTGCGAATTGGAAGATCTCTAGCCCTGGTGAGTGCTTGAATTTCAATGAGGGTGTTTTGTAATTCGATTGTTTTGTTGTTCATCTCTGTTTATTGAAATTTGGTGCAGGTGATCATCCGGAAGATGTGAAAGCAAGGCTTAAATATTGGGCACAAGCAGTAGCTTGCACAGTTAGATTATGCAATTAAGGACTTGATTGCATCAACTGACAGAAAGCCAAGATCAATCAGTTGCAGCAGCAGAGGTCCTTGAATCATGATCGATTATGGAAAAACCCGAAAGGAAATGTGATCAAGATGATCATGTTTTCTAACACTTGATCTGGAGATGGATGCTTGATGTTTCTGTCGATGAGGGGTTGCAGATTCGAGGGTTTATAACAAGAAATTACAGGAATTTGTTGTATCCGAGTTTTGACACAAAATCAGTTGAGGTAAATAATGGATGGTGTATCAAATGAATGCAAATAAATCTTGAAATAAGAAATTAAATATTTTCTACATTTTGCTTTTTGCTTCTCCAAATCATTGTTTCTTATTTTGGATAAAGACAAGCAGGGGATAAAATCAACCAGGGTGAAGAATTGCTGTCATCTATACATGATACCAGATCTTTATCTGACTTATTATAAGTTTGTTAAGTCATTCAGATATTTATTTGGCTTAACTTATTATAAGTTTGTTTGGTCCACGGCACAAGATAGAATAAAATAAAGATTCATATTTCAGATCTGATATTTTATATAAAACAGAATATATTAAAGTAAAGTAGACTTATAATTTATCAGTATAACCATAAAATAAAATTTAATTTACTTCTAAAATATCAACTAGGTTTTTTTTAATATTTTATTTATTATTTAAATTTTATTTCTTGTGTTTTACGTTTTTTAAATTTTAATTTTACTGTATTTAAAATATTATTTTTATATGATTTCTTTATTTTTATTAAATTATGTAATTTATTTTATATTATTAAAAAAATAATCTAGAAAAAAGATACAAATAAAAATTAGAAACTACATAAACTTTTTATTTTGGTATTTTAATTAAAAATTTAATGATATATTTTGTAATAAAAAATAATTATTTTATTTTTAATTTAATTTAATAAACTAATCAAAATATATAAATAACTTATTAGGGATAAAGTGGTCATTTTATTTGTTAGGTTCTATTCTATCCAGTTCCGTCTTATCAAAAGTTGAATAACTATTCTATCATGTCATATCCTATTTTATTCTATCTGGACACCAAACACACTACCAAGAATTAGTCTAGTATAGAATCACCCATTTGCAAGGAAAACGATCAAATTGTTATAGTACACATCTTGAAGAAGAGGAAAACATATTGGTGTTGTAGATTTAAATTGTTTTAATACGTGTTGGTGAAGAAGAAAAAGAAAAAAAAACACATATTAAAAGTGTTTAGATTTCAGTGAGAAGAGAACTTAAGGTAAAAAGTGTAAGAAGAAATCTTTATTTTTAGATCAATCCTGATTGAATGTAAACATTAATAAAAGTGTACCAAGATGCACCAGATTAATTCTCTTACAATACGTAATTCATGGATGAATATGAGATTAAAAGTTATCAAAAATTCAGATATATTACTATGTTTCGAACCATAATTTTCATCTTGGCCAATAAAATTAGAGATTTGTTTAATTGGGCCATTGGAACTGGTCCTGAAAAGCCCAAAAACTTAACCCAATAACCAATTTTTGATTTCGGGCCTGGGATTTCATGGAATCATAAATTTTATCAAACGACAGGTACAAAATAATGGATATAATAAAAATAAAATAGATATTAAATGTAAAAACTATGGTTTTTGTTGATTAGAAATGTTTGGATTTGAACTTGAATCTACGATGTGAATCAAAAAATTTAAGAGTAAACAATATTTTTCGTCTATGCAGTCTTTTGAAATTATGGTTTTTGTTATTTTGGTTTCTTTTCGTCCCTAGGATCTAAATGTAGTTGTCGGCTAATTCAAACTAGTCCAAAAACCGTTCCAAAATCGATCATTTGAGTAGGCTTAAAATCAATCATTTTATTCGGTCTTTTTGAGGATTGTTCCTCGAGGTTTTTGTCTATTAAATTGGGTTTGTTTAGTCTTTCGAGCTGGATCCATTCCTACTTGTAACTAGACCGACCCTCAAATTTGGTACAATGTGAACCTAACCAGGTTGATTTGAACTCAATTGGGTTGATTCGGACCTAATTACGAGCGACATTCTCATCCGTGATTATTACGTCATGGAAGTTCCATTTCAGGGAAGGACGGCGTACTATGATACTTCCTGTTCGAAGTTCTTTCTTTCATAAGATAGTCTTTTGGGGAAATCAGAATAACACCGCTTGTGCAAGGGCCCGTGAATTCCTTTGAGTTTCGATAAAACATTAATTTTCAATATACTTATAAAAGATGGAGTAAATATTAGGTTTGTTCATTTGTTAACATCCAAAGGATGCGAGGAGAACCAACCCGATCCAGTCATTCATTTGATGTTAGATTTTGCCAACCAATCTAATTTGATTAACATTGGACAACCGATTCAATCCAATCAAATGGATGATTGGATTGGTTCGGTTATATCAATTGGATATTTTGATGGGATATTCATTAGATTAGATTGAATCCAATCGATATCAATTGGAATGAATCAGATTGTATCCATCCGACATCCAAAGAAAATTAATTATTATCTTTATAAGAAATTATATTATTAAATCAAATATCAATTATTTCGTTATTGAACCTAAATTGAATTATAACAAAAAAATTGAATTAAAAAATTACACAAAAGAAATAGAAATTTTAAATAGTTAATTTGATACTAATATCGATATATTTTTATCGAATTTTATGATATCTTTCGTTTTATATTTTATTCAAAAATAAAAACATCATCGCTTTTTCAAAATCACATAAGACCGTATTATAACATCTACTGAGATAAATAATAAAATAAATTATTAAAATTAAGATGTATCTCGCTGTATTGCGCGAGTACCATTCTAATTATTAAATAAAAAGTTAGAATTATATATATATATTTTGTTTATAATAAGAGTTTAAAACTTTTTATAAGACTAAAAAACATAAAATTCTCTTATTATCCTCTTATTTACTTTAATTAAACATAAATTTTTTGGAAAAGCAATAATAAATTCACTTTACGAATCATATCATGACAATAAAACATTGAGAAACGAAAATATCTAAAATATACAGGTTCCATAGGCACACAATTAATACTCTTAAAAAAACCAATTTCCATTTTGATTTTAATAATTATTAAAATATCATTTTTGAATAGTTGTAATTATATTTATATGATATTTTTTCATTTTGTTAATAATAGTTTTCAGAGTAAAATATAAATTTGGTCCATGTAACTTGTAAAAGTAACACTTTTTTCTTCCTATAATTTCTAAATTTATAAGATAGTTATTTTTATTTGTAAAAACGTCTAGATTCGATCTTAAAAAATGATTGGTCTCTTGAACACTAGAAAAATTCAACTCCAACCATATAATAAGAAAAATACATTAGAACATTTTTAATAATAAAATAATATAAGTATTTATTATTATACTATTTTATTAAATGTATTAGACTATATATATATATATATATATACACACACACACACACACACACACACACTAGAAGAGTACTCGCACAATGTAGCGAGATACATCTCGATTTTAATGTTTCGATTTTTCTTTGTCTCAATCGATGTTATAATATAGTTTTATGTAGTTTTGAGAAAGCGTAATGTTTTTATTATTAAATAAAATATAAATAATATAATTTTTATCTTGAATTTTAAGTAATATGCATCAATAAAATATTTAAAAAATTAAATGAGAAAATTTAAATAGTTAATTTGATACTAATATCGATATATTTTTGTTAAAAATTTATGATATATTCAATTTTATGTTTTATTCAAAAATATAAATATTATCGCTTTTTTAAAACCACATAAGACCATATTATAACATCGTCTGACATATATAAGAAATAAAACGAAATATTAAAATTAAGATGTATCTCGTTGTATTACGCGAGTATCATTTTAGTTATATTATAAGTATTTGACAAAAATTCTTAAAAATCATTTTTATGCATTAAATACTGCTTATTGATGCATATTACTTAAAATTCAAGATTACAAGTAAATTATGCGTAAATACAATTGATTAAAGCTCCATGTTTGAACTCGTGTAAGTAACTATAGATAAACATAATAAAAAAAGAATAAACATCTCATTTTAAATAAAAAATCTAAAATATAATTATGATAATCATTGAGTTTTAACAAAATACTTAATTATTTTTTTTATAAAAAGTTATATTACTAAACCAAAAATAAAAAATTGAATTAAAAAAATTACAAAAAAAGGAGAAATTTTATATTGTTAGTTTGATACTAATATCAATATATATTTTTCAAAATTTTATGATATCTGCATATTTATATTTTATTTCAAAAATGAAAACATTATCGTCTTTTCAAAAACATATAAAACCGTATTATAACATCGACTGAGACAAATAAAACGTTTGGATTCATTGAGAATTTTTTTTTTCTTTCTTATCGGAGTTATTTCACAAAGATTTACGAGAAACATTAAAATCAAAATATATCTTATTATATTACACAAGTATCATTGATTAAAGATGATATAAAAAAACTCCACTAAAGAAGAAGCAAAATAAAACTTGAGAATTGAAGTCATAAAAACTAATTGATTGTGTATAATAAAATAGGAAAAAAAACGGCATAGGTTTGTGTCGTATGATCAATCATCATCGCATTTGTGCATATGGCTCTCTGTGGTTGGGTTAGGTAGTTCGGCGGAGGTTTCCACGAGACTTAAACCCACACCTACAGTCTTAAATCTTCATTGTGCTTTGCTATCAATCCGCCCTGGAGTGACAAAGAAGATGATCCTAATCAGGTCGATTCGTCCAAATTGGCGGTCCTTTTCGTCGATGTTGGATCTGCAACCGCGCTCGTTCTACTACTCCTCCTCCTCCTCCTCGTCGGCGGCAGCTGCAGAAGCGGAGCGAACCATACGAGAAGGTCCGAGGAATGATTGGAAAAGAGAAGAGATTAAGAACGTTTACGATTCTCCTCTACTCGATCTTCTCTTTCATGGAGTGCGTACTCTTTCTCTCTTCGACAATGTGGATGCTTTATCTACTCGGTTGTGATTGGAGCTTTTATGTTTGTTACCTTATGTTAACTCGTTAAGTATTTGAATGCAAGACAAACGTATTACTCCTTTTCTACACCTTGAATTTTAAACCCAAGGCTGCTACTTCGCATTGATCCAAGTTTCGTTATTTTTTTGGTTACTACGTTGAGTGCGATTCATTAATAATGTTGGGCCTATTAGGGTTGTAACGAAATCTATATGCGTTGCATTTGAAAATTTGCACCTACTATATTACCGCTGAAAGTTTATCACTATCAGAGTATCATTGTCTGAACCAGGAAATACTTGGTTTCAGGGGGAAAAAAAGATTCTGATTTCATGGCATCAACTATCATCGTTAGGTTAATGGTTGATATGAATTTCTTTATAACAGTTTGACTACCATATTTGATTTATTTGATGAGGAAATTAACCGAGATGATTAATCAAAGCTAAAATTTATCAGGGTTTTAGAAAAAAGGAAGAAAGGTAAAAAATTTCCTAATAAGTAGCCATCATACCTGGATGACACAAACTATTTTTTCTATGCTGCCTGCCTTTTTAAGGAGTTAGCCTAATATATACAAACTTTAGCTCAAGCAATACTTTTGGCAGAAAAGGGGGAAGGAAACATTGCCTAACATGTATGAATCATGGGTAGTTGGCATCAAAATTGTGTCATACGTCTAAATCTAGAAGTAGTATGCCTCATACAAAAAAAAATATTTTTCTTCTTTGTCTTCTAATGTTTACCTTATGTGGTGCTTGTTATCATCATTAGCACTGTAGATATGCTGTATAATTTTTCTTATGAAAGGTGTTTTTTATAGGCTCAAGTTCATAGACATGCTCAAAATTTTAGGGAAGTTCAGCAGTGTACACTTTTGTCTATAAAGACGGGTGGATGCAGCGAGGATTGTTCATATTGCCCTCAGTCTTCTAGGTATAACACTGGAGTGAATGCACAAAAGCTCATGAGTAAGGATGCAGTTCTGGAGGCAGCACAAAAGGTGCACTTTTCTCTGACTACTCGTTTGATTTGTGCAGCTGATTTACTAGGGTCATAAGCATGTATTTCGGCATAATGAATCATTCACATTTTACATGTCTGATGGATTTATAAACTACGGTTTGAATAATAAGAAGGATGACAATGGGTGGTTTCCATGTGATTAATCCTGCCTTGGTGCATAAGCCTGCCCAATTTTCATCTACATATACCTGTTTTTGATGAGTCAGAGGTAGATAGATAGTGCAGCTGGGGCATTAAGTTCTTTAGTTTGAGATGTAGAAACTATGTGAATCATCAAGCACACTTGACCTAATAAGTTCACAAGCAATTGCTACCAAAAGCAGGTTCACACCCAGTATGACTTTCTATTGGGCCACCTTTCACCTGGTGGAGGAGAACACTAGCGAATTCTACTTGCCCAAACTCGAAGCTAAACTGGGAAGTGAGTGAAGGCTGGTAGTATAAAAGTTAGCCCCTTCATTAGCAAAGAGAGGGAGTAGAGCTCTAAAACTTTAGTCACGCTTTGCTGATGCGCCAAGATTTGAAGTTTTATACAGACTATTTTGATGGTGTACTTCTCCAGTCTTATATTGACATCATGAACAGCATTCTGCCTTGAATGAATGGAACATCATGGAAGCGACTGAGATTCACATATTTACATCTAATTTTGTAACTGCACATGTTGCATGTAATGCCATTCTCTTGTTCAATTAAGCATACTTTTATAAAACTGGCACTTGGCAGGCAAAAGAGGCTGGTAGCACTCGGTTTTGCATGGGTGCTGCATGGAGAGACACCAAAGGAAGGAAGACCAACTTCAACCAGATCCTTGAATATGTGAAACAGATAAGGTAGCGAGCTACTCTTTTACAACTTAATCTTATTACAATATTGTATTAGCTGATGAAATTGCTCTGTTGTGATAAGATATAACACATCTTCATCTCTACTTGACGTTGGTGGTTCTTTTGGTTACTATATGCTTACATCATAACGATGGTTTTTGCTAGCAGGAGATTAAATGTATCAGCAGTGGGTGGTTTTTATTTCTGTTCTGTTAACATCTTGATTCTTGCTGAGCTTTCTGAGAAATTTATAATGATCATTTTGATGATAATCCCTAGGCAATAGTCAATCTGCATGTTTGTATGTTGCTGGTAGATGATGACATTTCTACAGCTAAGTTGAAGTTTAAGATCATATCAGCAGTGAACATTATTCTTTACTTATTTATAGTTGCCTTTTGGTGTGTGTTCATGATTCGACATGGTTGCTATGTTAATCTCTTATCAGTAACCTATAAATAGCTTATTATTCAATATCAGAGCTCATAAGTATCACTTGTTTGCAGGGGTATGGGAATGGAGGTTTGCTGTACCTTGGGAATGATAGAACAACAGCAAGCCTTAGAACTCAAGAAAGCAGGCCTTACAGCTTACAACCATAACCTTGATACATCAAGAGAATTTTATCCTAATGTCATTACAACGAGAACATATGATGAACGCCTGGAAACAATCAAACATGTTCGTGAAGCAGGAATTAATGTTTGTTCAGGTAATTCAGACAAATCCGAAGTATAGCTATTGACATTGGCTAATTATGCTAAGAGACTAGATTTTGTTTTAACTTTTTATCCAACATATATATATGTATATACTAGAAAGATACTCGCACAATGCAGCAAGATACATTTCGATTTTAATATTTTGTTTTATTCTTTGTCCATGTTGATATAATATGTTTTTATATGGTTTTGAGAAAACAATATTATTTTTATTTTTGAATAAAGTATAAATTTGAATATATCATAAAACTTTGAAAAAAAAAATATCGATATTGGTATTAAATTAACTATCTAAAAATTCTCGTTTTTCGTATATTTTTTTAATTCAAATTTTTATTAAAATTTAATTTATGTTTAATAATGAAGTAATTTATTTTTGATTTAATAATATAATTCTTTATAAAGATAATGATTACGTATTTTGTTAGAATTAATTTTTTTATCCTAATTACATTTTAGAGTTTTTACATTTAAAATGAGATGTTTATCTTGTATTTGATTATATTTATCTACAGTTAGTTAAACGAATTAAAAAATGGAACTTTAATAAGTTGTACTTATGTACAATTTAGTTGTAATCTTGAATTTTAAGTAATATGCATTAATAAACACTATTTCATGCATAAAAAGGGTTTTTAAGAGTTTCTGTCAAATGCTTTATAATATACTATAGATATATTATGAGCAGGTTTGATTGGTTAAGGTATTGGTCTTACAGCATTGTAGGTTTAACCTGACCAATCAAATGAAATTTATTTACATGCTGGGATATGTATGTGATTAAATCATGCAAGTTTTAAAATCGAGGACCGTGTTTGAAATTTGTATATCATACTTCTACAACTCGATAGCTTGTACACAGTTATGATGACTGTCCTGCTACACTTTCACGTGATATCTCGTCAAAAATTGAATGCATTATATTTTATCCCAAGTATTTACACATTATCTAGGAGCAGGCTGTTGTTCCTTTAGATGATACTATTACCTCCTATAAACAGAAAAGATACAAAAAGCTCTCACATTCTGATGAGAATCCTTTTTCTGCTGATAGGAGGAATAATAGGGCTTGGTGAAGCAGAAGAGGATAGAGTTGGTTTGTTGCATACATTGGCAACACTTCCCTCACACCCGGAGAGTGTTCCCATCAATGCACTTGTTGCAGTAAAAGGCACACCTTTGGAAGATCAAAAGGTATTTACCGTCTTATAAGTAGAAATTTATGGACTATTAATGTATTATTGGTATCAGCATTTATGTTTTAACACCTGCGGTTGGTAATCATGGTCTTGATATGCATCTGCCATAGCCAGTTTTAGTCGTTAACAATACAAAATTTTCATTAGTATAGGTTGCTCTGAAACAATACTGCATATAATGCATATTGTGGTTGTCTGTATAGATAAGATAATGAACCACTGAAATTTAATGTTGCAATCATTATGTTCAAGTTGGTTGATGAAGATTGAAGGAAAGAGAGTGAAACATTACTGTTACGGTATCTTGCATTTGTTTGTAGCCATGTAGCAAGATAACGTTCATCTAAAGCTTCATGCAAGCCACTGTTTGATTACTATGTGATAAATGAAATTTTGCCAAGTAAGAAAATTTTGGGACATTTCAGAAATGCAATTGTTGCATATGTCTTGTAAGGAGTACTACTTTTTACTCGGATGCAGGCTTGAGGTTCTGTATTTTCAAAATGTTAAAAAGTTTGGATTATCCTGGAACAATGCTTGTTACTTTTGTTACATAGAGTCCCATGTTAGATGGAGAGTTGCTTTAGTTTTTCCCCCTTTTCATGGCTTATTTATGTCGGTCTTAGGGCCGTTTACCAAAACAGTAAAATTCAACACTATCACTTACCGGATAAGATTTTAGTCCACCAAAACGATATTGTATGCAACAATTTACCCGCTAAGTGCTAATTGTGGTAAGAGTCGTCGTCCTCACATACCGGGTAAGACTCTCGGTCCTTGCCTCGCTTTTACCGGGTAAGATTCTTGGTCCTTGCCTCGCTCTTACCGGGTAAGATTCTTGGTCCTTGCCATATTCATCCGGTAAGGTAATATAATTTGGTAAGCACTTACCTGGGTAAGCGTTGGTAAACGGTCCCTTAGTTTTTGGACCTATTACCATGTTTGTGTTATTTATGTCCTTGCTTCCTTTTTGTTCACTGCATCTATTCCTTCTTTGTTCACTGTACCTGTTACAATGCTACTCTCTCCGTCCCAATATAAATGTCCATATTTCTGTTGTATTTTGTTTCAAAATAAGTGTCCACCTTCAAAAGTAAGTGTCTACTTTCCAATCCTACCTTAAATTATGAGATGGGAAAATTCATCACCCCCTCTATTATTAAGGATACAGTTGTCATTAGTTAATTAAAAAGTAATAATTACACATATCTAAAAGTATGTCCTTTTTTATTGTGGGCATTTATTTTGGGATGGATGGAGTAGAGACAAGATTTGCATACATCCTACCACCAGACCCTACATCTATGGGATGTATTGTGTTCGTTTGGTTTTAAATGACTTGTTACTTTGGTACAAAAACTCGATATTTCGGATAATGTTAAAAACTTTGGAATTTGCTGGAACACGCAGGCTGTAGAGATATGGGAGATGATACGGATGATTGCTACTGCCCGCATCACGATGCCAAAGGCTATGGTGAGGCTATCTGCTGGCAGAGTTAAGTTTTCCGTGCCGGAGCAAGCACTATGTTTTCTTGCGGGTGCAAACTCCATATTTACCGGTGAGAAGCTGTTGACGACTCCCAACAACGATTTTGATGCTGATCAATCCATGTTCAAACTACTTGGATTGATCCCCAAACCCCCTAGTTTCTCAGATGAGGCTGAACCTTGTGAGGAAGAGGCTGTTTCTAGTTCTGCTGCTTGATTTATGGTATGCTACTAATGTTCCTGAAACAACCATCTTGTCAATTGTTTTCTTCTTTCTCTTGCCTAGGCTCAAAAACAGAAATTAGAGACTGATGACATAGGTGTTAGATCTATTACAGCTCTGTTTTGGTTGGGTTTGTTTACGCCTAAAAGCGATGATTTGTCGTTTTTGCCCCTGAGAATCATGCCTGTGGGTTGTGATATATGTTGGAATTTACTAGTTGAAAAAACATGTGAATTAATAGACTCTCTTTTCTTTTCAAAATTACCATGAGTTTGATGTTCAAATTGTACCTTGAAGGCATGTCTCGAGCATTATCAGTGGACATTTAAATGTAGGTGCAAATGAGCAATAGCCATTAGCCAATAGCCAATAGCCAATAGCCAATAGCCTAAACCTTGGAAGTGGGGTTGGGGTCGGGGTAAGATGTATGCATATATTCTTGGTCCTGAGAGAATAAGAAGTAGAGAGATTGTTTCCAACTTGGGAAAGAAAAATGTAAAAGATTTTGGACTCCATAGGTGGATGAGTTGATTGGTTCTTAGAATTACGTGGCATCCAAACAAGGATTATAGGCGTACTCGATGACACCACCTCTTGTAGACGTTAGGGTGTATTTGGTATGCGGGACAATACATGACAAGGTAGATCAAAAAGGATTAAGGGGAATGAAAATACATGTTTCTGTTCCACCAACCAAAATAGGTGGAACAGAAATCAGGAATATGAGTAAAATCTAAGGAGAGACGTAGTTCACAAGAAGAAATCAGTAACAAAGAGAATAAGATGATGAGTAGCACAAAACCTTGAACCCCTAGCAAAGCAAGCCAAACATGGCCCCCTTTTCAGACAAAAAGTCAACTAATCAAACCCATTTTGAGACCACAACCTACACGTACAACTATCTTGTAATGATTCTAAAAAGGGGTCAATAAAACTATCTTGAATACTGCAATTTGCAATGATTACAAAAAATAAACAACAACATACCAAGGACAAACGAATATTTCATAATAAAGTAAGGCATGCCTCTAGACATGTGAGCGTCAAGATGTATCGTAGTTTCTTTCCAAATGTAAGTCTGTAATCGGCAAGGATATGATCGTCCACCATCGAAGGTAAGTGTAATACCCGTTTTTTTTCATATTTATATTTCGACCTTAGAATAACTTTTGGTATGTATTTTTTGAGTTGGTATAATGTCATGGGTGAGAATTAAGCTAATTAATTTTCTGAAGAAGTTTCATGCTTGGGGCGAAATCTTCAAGCCTGGGGAGGTTAGGCAGAAAGTTTAAGCTGAAAGAGGCTACTGGTTTAAAAAAAAAACTGGATTTTACCCCTTTTCTTTTCACTTTTGTTACACCTACTCGCTTATCATCTCTCTCGTCTGGTTCTTGAGCTTCTAATTCTCCAAATCGACTTCTTCTTGAGGATTAATGAGACTTGGAGCTAGTTTTGACCTCCTAGATCATTCCTCTTGGTGTATCTTTCATATTACGAGTTTTGACCAATTTTGAATATTTTAGGTGATTTGAAGTTTTGACTAAGCTTGTCATTGATCTGATTTTGAGGTTATTTTTGGTACATTTCTAGACTTGGCTTTGACCCAGATAAAGTTTATAGGGATGTATGTTTGTGGATCTAAGGTCTTCATTTTGGAAGCTAGAGATAAGTTTGGAACCTAGGTTTAACTTAACCTAGTAAAGTGAGTTCAAGTTACTTTGTGAAAACTTTGTACATGCCAAAATGTCTATTTCGGAGTTCTAAGATGTTTTATTGATATTAATCAATTGTATTGATTACCTAACATCTTTGGTTCATTTGATTTTATAAAATCTTAAGAAATATATCTATTTGGGGTTTTTGGATATTTGATAACAAATCATGAAGTTTGAGGATTTTGATGGTTTATTGTCACTTGATGATAATGCATTTGGTATATTGATTCTTATAAATCATTCAAATAGTATGCATGATTTAGCCTTGTTGGCCTTTGTGGTATTTCGGGTCTTGATATGTATTAAGCCTTTTTAAATGCATTTTGGAGTTCATAAGGACTCGTTTAGATTAGTACAACAAGGAATAGCTTAATGGCTTGAATTTGATATAAATACCTAATTTGGTATTTTTGTCTGGCCTTTGAGTTTGTGGTGTTGATTTTCAAACATTTTGATGTATAAGTGGCTCAAACGCCGAGTATTTATATTTTGTTAGGTTTATGTTGATTTTTATTGAATAGTGAATTGAATTGTTGAGCTTTTGGATCAGTTTTGAGTCAGATGAGTCTTGAGGACTTTTTTCCGGTTTAATTTGCTTTATGTCAAGCTTTTGGAGTTATATATGGTTATGGCATATTCATTTGGTAAATTACATGTTTTGAGTGCATTGTTTATTCAATATGACTCATGTAATTTAGACTGTAATACATGTGATCCGTAGGCATATTTGTTAGTCGTGTTTTGCCAAGCGAGGAATTTTGATGTTCTCGTCTTGAAGCCATAAGGTTTAGCCAAATGAGGAGTTTTGATGTTCTCATCTTAAGCCCCCTTTGGTTGTAATAAGAGAGAAGTTTTGAGTTCTCTTCTTGATATATTTGGTTCGAGACAAAGGAAGAGTTTTGATGTTCTCGCATTAGAACCTTTGATTTTAGGCAAGTGAAAACTTTTGATGTTCTTATCTTGTAACTTGGGGAATGACCAAGTAAAGAGTTTTGATGTTCTTATCTTAGCCCCAAATAGAGTAATTCCGAAGGCTTGTATGTTGGGGGTGATTTACTCGTCAACATCTCGATGTGGTTTACTTAGTGTTCTGCCACCTGATGAAAACGGGTCTTCCCTGTCACCGAAATGTGTTATTTCTGGATAGTGTATTATCCATGTTTTCGATGTTTTTTAAGGTACGAAGTGTACCATACTTTATGGTTTTGATAGCTGGGAGTTTATTCATGCTTTGTTGATTTAGGCATTGAACCTTATCCATGTTCTTTGGATGTATTGGATATAAAGTTTTATTCATGTTTTTAGTATTTGAATTTTAAATCTTATTCGCATTTTGGGTGAGTATTGAGTTTTGAGTTCATGGTAAAATGGGTGCTTTGATCACAAAGTTTTCACCACGAATATGATGATTTTGAGAAAGATGTTGCTTTTATAATAAATACAATTTATTATAAAATTGTGATTTAAATAACGTCTTTTCTAGTTTTACTATTTTATATCAACGATGAAAACTCTTTAAATTCATTAGGCGTTAAGGCTAACATATTTTATTTGCCGGCAAATGCATTAGGTCCTCTTTGGGTAATGGTACTAGCGACACTGTAATGAGTTGAATGCTAGTTAGAAGCATGAGGAGAAAATAGTCATTCAAGGACGTCTTTCGCAACTTGGAGATAACAACCGTTGTTGGATTTTAGTAACACACATCCCTATTATAGACCTTGTGTAAGGTTTGAATTGTAATCATTGATGTTAAACCTTAAATTGTCAATTTAGGTGATTCGGTTATTACTCGTTAAAAGGGCATTTATCTTTCATTTGAAGTATTTAGAAAATTTTAAAGTAGTCGCTCTTTCTAAATTTGAAAACGTTAACATCAGTGATGGTACGACTATCCTCCAGCTTTCTGCCCATGAATTCAAGATACCATTCATCAACAAAGAGTTCCATTTTCTTCATTTCGCCAATGGTGTTGGACTTGCTGACCTCCAAAATGATCTTCTTTTTATTTAATTCAACAATATATTATATTATTTAATGAATTAATGGTATAAGGGTAGGTTTTCTTGTTAACCCAATTTATGGTATTAACTTTGTAAACTCATCACAACCATCCATCTTGTGAAACAATGAATGACATTTATAATGACAATTTTGTAATAACTAATAATATAATACATTATCATCAAAGATGAACATACACGAACAAGAGTATTACTGAAAAAAGTTCATAAAGTTTGTAATTGCCTATTAATGACATTAATGTCCATAAACATTAATCCATTTGTCATGAATAAAAAAATCTCCATTAACTTCCCTTCCAAGTTCCAACCACCATCCCACCCCTTTCCCTTCCCTTCCCTGAGACCAACTCCAAACCACATCTCCGACCCCCTCTCTTCATCTTTATTTAGTGATTTTTTTAGCCATTTCAGTTCAATCCAATTCCTATATGCAATTAATGCAACTTCAATTTAAATCATGGTAAATGGGAACCAGAAGGTTATCACATACCTTTATTGATCGAGTTTCCAATTTTATTACAATAATGTAGTAACAAAAATAGATTTATAACAAGAATGTTTTTGGAATCAGATTGACAGTTATAACAAAAGTGCAATAGATGGACATATCAAGCGAGTTTAAGATTTTTATAAAAAAAACCTATCAATTCATCAAGTTTTAGCTCAATGTATATCTTGTACAATCAGACTTTTAAGGAGAAGTAGAAGAAGCAGAGACCGGGAGAAGCGTTACTATTTATACCATGGTTTCTTTAATATAATCAACAAACGAAATTTTTTATTCAATCACAGATAAATGTTTATAGAATCCCAACCTAATCACGAGCATATCTCTGCTGAGTTCGAAACTTTATGAACCTTATGAATCCTAACATATTGATTAATATGGAAAACCTCAAAGCTTGAGATCATCCTTTATCCATCAGTGAGGTGTATAGAAAATATAGGACCAAAAATGAAGTTTACTCTTTTTTTTGGTAAATTACAGATTCCGTCCCTGTGGTTGGATTAAGTCTTTCAAACGAAATAATTACATGTATGATCCACATGGTTTCACTTTTATTATAGATTTGGTCCCTTACTTTAACTCCATTAAACATTGCTCCGATAAGGGTGTTTTAGTAATTTGATATTTAAAATCTTAAAAACACTTTATATATATATATATATATATAGAGAGAGAGAGAGAGAGAGAGAGAAGTTCAATTACAAACTTAATTTTCATTGTAAATATGAAGACTGATCTCAACCCTCCATTTTATTTGCTCTAACAACTTAAATTAAATATAGTTTTTAATTAAAATTATTAATCAAGGTAATTAGGAGTAACAAAGGCATAATTTCAATGCAATCTCTACCTTTTTTTGACTTTTTATTTTCTTTTTTAATTAAATTTTTTTACCTCATTAAAGTTTAAAATAGATTATCTTAAAAATCACTAATATTTTAAACAAACAAATTACATCAAAAAAGAGAATTTCATGCTCTTCGATATGACATTCATCTTGATATATTTTTTCTCCCATTTTAATCGTTTTTATGTGAAATGATATATATGTATTATATTCCTTATGAATATCTATGTATGTTCAAGTGTGTACAACATCATCTTTTCCAACACTTCCTTCAACACGTTGTAAGACATTGCGTTCTTCATCACCGTGACCCAACACCCATCGAGACCGATCACGAACCTGTAGAGACCAAGTGAAACCTATCAAGACGGATCGAGAATGGTTGAGAATCCATTCATTGACTTAGTATGTGTTTATGTGTCTTAAACCATAACCTACCACCTTCATTTTCCATCGAGAATCTATTGATTGATTTATTATTTTTTTATGTGTATAAAAATATAGACTATAACTTTCAACTTTTATCGAGATGAATCGGGAATCCATTGAGACCAATCAAGAACACATAGAGATCGATCCACAATCCATTGGTACCGATCGACACCGGTTGAAACCAATCAATACTAATCAAAACCCATTCATTGACTTGGTGTGTGGTTGTGTGTTAACATCATAACATAACACCTTCATTTTTTTATCGAGACCGATTAAGAACCTATTGATTAATTTATTGTGTGTTTGTTCGTGCAAAACCATAACTACCACTTTTAATTTTTATTGAGATGGATCGAGAAATTTATTGAAATGAGTCTGGAACTCATCCAGATCAATCGAGAACCCAATAAATAAATAAAAGAAAAACTAAAGTATGTAGAGTTGAAACTGTAGTATGTTCATGATGAATAATATGGTGAAAATCAATATTTATGATAAATATCAAACTAATATAAATACTAGAGAGTTATTGTATACAAGTGATCATACATAAATATTAATGATAAATAGTATGTATATTCATGATGAATGTTACAGTAAAAATGTATATTCATGATGAATATGACGAATCATACTGATGTATGAATGTCGAAAAATTGCTATATACACATGAACATATATAAATATTCATGACGAATAGTATGTATATTTATGATGATTAATATATATGTATCATATTGATGTATAAATACAATAGAGTTATTGTATACACATAACATATATATATATATATATATATATATATATATATATATATATATATA